TACACCACGTAAGGGCTGGTGACAAGCAGGTTTGGGCAATGCAGAGGGTCAGGAATCTGGCCAGAAATGGTGAAAGGAGGAGCAGGGACCCAGTGGAGAGTGCAGCTGACACTAAGGGTACCACGTGATCCCCATCCTCTGTCCCCATAGAGAAAAGAGCTTGTCTAAGACTGCAGGTGGCCTCTGAGAAAGGGTTGTCTGGAAGCCACTTGAGGGCCATTAAATACAGGGAAAGGAACACTGGCTGTGAATCAGGAGAGCTGAGTTCCATTACATCCCATCCTGACTGCCACTTAACTAACTGAATGACTTTGGGAAAGTCACTAACCCTTCCAGGTCAGTAACAGGAATGGGTTGAGCATCCTGGCTCCCCTCCAGCTCTGACCTCCTGAGAGACTCTAGGATACTCCGGGTCCTGCAGGTGGCACCCATGAGAAACAACCCTCTGGGAGCTCTGGACAGCCAAGAGGGCAGCCCCGTCTAGGGTAGCTGCCGCTCAGGCAATGCCGAGCCAGGTCCTCTCTCATCCCGTGCAAGTGGGCCAGCGTGTGCTGGAGAAAGCAGTGAGAGGATATGGTCAAGCAAGACGAGGGGCTTTGGTCCCAGGCCCACAGATAGTCCTGGGCCCCCAGGAGATGGAGATGGAGAGGCCACTTCCATTCTTCCTCACGATGTAGCACGGGCTTTCTCACCTCTCCCAACCTTCATGCAACCTCTCCCAGGGCAGTAGCAGGAAGCAGGTGTAGGAGGAAGAGGAGTTTTATCCTGGGGATTGGGAATCAGAGGAGGATGATAACCCCAGTCCGAGCTACTTGTCTTCCCGGGGCCGCCGCCCTGAGTTGGCAGGGCTGGGTGAGTGTGGGCACAATTTCCCAGCTGCTCAGGGGCTGCCAGCCCAGACCCGGAGAGCACCTTGGGGTGGTGCCATGGTCACACGTTCTCCTTCCAGGCCTGGCCGTGCAGCCCACGGGCTGGCTGGGGGCAAGGGGTGAGAAGAAGGTGAGCTGGTTTAGAGAATCTGGGCTTTTCCAGCAGTTTAATTCTAGCTGCCTACATGGGGCCCATGAGTTTGGGGTCATGGAGTGTGAGGTTCCAAGAGGAAACTGGTAGTTGGCCTCACAGCTCTGGGTGTTATGTCTCACCCTCCTCACATAGGTGCTGGCCAGCCAGGCCGATCAGCTCTGGGGTCTGGGAGGAAGTCACTGTCTTCTGGGCCAAAGAGCCCTCCAGAAAAAATTGGTCAACAGAGGAACAGGGAGAAGGAAGGGATGTATGTACCTGGGTGCTGACCCCAAGTCTTTCTTTGTCCGCATCTGCCCCTGTCTGCCCCTCCTGGGAAAGCCCATCACTTTGTAGGTCAAGGTGCCTGATCTACAGGTTGTCCCTCTGTTGTTTTCCCAACAAAAAATCCTCATTGCTGGCAAGCGGCAGTGTCTCACCTGGTCATCTGGACCCACAGGGCTCTGGTGTGGGAATCCATTCCTACCTGTCTGATGCAGCTGCGTGGGGCACTTGCTGGAGGAGGCTGGGGCGGGGGTTTGGGAATGAGTGGCAGGAACCAACCTGAAGCCCAAGACTGGTGGCATGAGGAGTCCATTCCATGGATGGCAGAGAAGGCTGATGTGGGAAAGTCTCCCTCCAAGGCCAGGGTCCCCCCAGCTGGGGTCCTGCCATCCACCCTCACCACCCCCTGGAAGGGGCCTCTGCAGATACTCCCCTACTTAAAGGCACTCCCTCCCAAGGCCTTAAGTCTCTTCCCAGAAGTTCCTCCCACTAGACCTCAGGGGATGTCTGCTGGCAGCCCCCACCCCAACACCATCCGCCTCATGTCAATCCTCTCCTCCCCTGGTTCCATCAGTCCCAGCCCCTGGTCAGTCACACACCCTCTGAACCACTTTGCCGGCTTCTCTAGTCCCTGCCTCCAAACTGGAAGCCTCTGATTTCGGCCAGCTCTCTGCACAACACCCCCTGGAATGGTCCGGGAGGCAGTGCAGTGCCATGGAGAACATAGGGCTCGAACCCCAGCTCGGCTATTTAGAGCCCCACTTTCCCGTCTGTGAGATGGGGGTCCCTGAAGCCTCACAGGAGTGTTAGGATCAAGTGAGATAATACACGTGGGCCGCCCACACAGCACCTGGCAT